ATTCACTCTCCACTGCCTCGTTTCCACCACGGTGGAGCCTTGTCCGGGCGACGGGTCGTTGACAAAGACAAACGATCTCCTGGCCAGGGAGTCGTTTGGATCCCATGGGCTCCTGAGGTCAGATCTTGCAGTGATGTGGATTAACTTCTGCTTTTTTTTTTTTTTTTTTTTCCTCCCCGCGCCCTCCTCTCTCTTCGGGCCTTCGCAAATCCCCCGTCCACACGTCACTGTATCAACACGGCCCAGTGTCCTTGCTGCTTTCTTGCTGCTTGCTTGCTGAATTATTCAACAACAGCGATGCTCATATCTGCCCGGGCAGCAGCTTCATGCTGTGACTTTAACAGGAGGTGCTGGGGACCAATAGTCCGACTACTTCCACTACCCTTTCCTCATACTGGGCAAAAAAGTAGTTTATTGATAATGCTAAGCCTAGTTTGACACAAGTGATACCTTGATTTGGGTTTAGTTGAAGGAAATTCAATTTGTAACCAGTCGAACATTGACATGGATAAGACCAGGGATCGGTTGACGACTGCTGAAGCAGCATGTGGTTTGTTCGGACTCTTTTTTTTTTTTTTTTTTTTCCCACCGCCAAGGAGCAATTGCGCGGTTTTCTCACACGCTCTGTTATGAGTCACGAAACAATTGTGTGTTTGGCTGCTCGGAAGGCCTCAGTGCAATTTTTGGGTCCAGAAAAGATGGCAAGAATCCCGCCGCTTTGGATTCGTTTCGATTCAAGATGCCCCCCCCCCCCCTTGTAAGGCACCGAACAGCAATGGTCACAATATAAAAAATGATTTTGTCCTTGTTGCCGCATGAATAATTCAATGTTCCTATCACAGCCAAGGGGGGACCAAAGCGCCAACATACCCGTCAAGCTAATCCCCTCCCACCCTTCACTCCTTTTAACCCTCCACCATTTCCCCACCACTTCTTTACCTCTCTCTGTTCTATATATTTTTTTTCTTCCTCCCCACAATCCCGTCTTCTCGAGGCCCCGGCTCGCTATCTGTCGAACCGACTTTTCCGAAGGACAGCCACTTTAAAACCGTTTGCCCACAGCTCTTTCTTTCCTCGCCTCTCGATATCACGCCTCCCTCGCCGTTCCGGCCGCCGACCTCCGGGGGCTGGAACGAATATCCTTGCGAGGGAACATTTCGGGGCTCCTTTGCTCATTAAAGCTCATTTCTTTGCCAGCACAGGTGGACAAATGGACGGAGTTGGACTCGCGTTGGGGCCACCGCCGATCAATGCGTATCCTCTGCGTTTGGGAGTCACACTTTGTACATTGTGAGAAAGGAGAGGATCCTTTTTGAATTAGCATCGGCGATTGATTTCGAAGGGTATCCGACACTGTCCCCGTTTTGGACAGATTTTCTGACTGAGGTTGGTCCCAGTAGCCGAGGTCAAAATGCCTCTCGCCAGGCACCAATTTGTTTGTTTCAATTCTACTGACCTGATATCTGATCTATGATTGACCAAGTTGCAAAAATGACATCCATTTTGAATACAACCGACTTTGTGTAGGCTGGAAACTCAAAGCAGTACGTGTTCCTTTTTCAGCAGTCGCAATTTTGTCCAGATATTTCTCCAAACTTTCAGGGATGATTCATTTTCATCAGGGCGAGAATCCTTTATATATTTATTTTTTAAAAAAATTGATTGGATCGGATTTAAGATGGCTCCAATATTGGAGGTAAAATGTCAAACCATCTCATGTCTGTTTTTATCCTTCTACTGACTGACATTTGACTGACGATTGATCCACTATGAGTTTAAAGGTCATCAATAATCCGTTTTTTTTTTTTTTTCCTCTCAGTGTCGCTCAGCAGATGTGTATAAATGATCGCGTTTGTATGATCCTCCCACCTTCTCTGACCGGTAATCTTCCATCATTTTTGTCATATTCATCAGCCCTAGACGTAATCGGTCCATCGGGCCGTCCCCTTTTAATTAATTTGCCGACGCGGTAAACATGGCGCTCGCTGCGTCGCCGCGGCACGTTGTCGGTGTAAAAAAAAAAAAAATAAACTGCATTGAAAAACACAAAATGATCTTTTATTCACTGTTTTTTATGAAGCCGTTAAAACATTTCAGGGTGCTGGAGAGGGAAGGTAAAAAGAGAAGCGGCGAGACAAAAGTGTTGTTGTCACCTTTGATTGTCAGCCGCAGAAATATCGGCCACACACGTACCTCCTCTTTGTTGTTCGCATCTTCCATGCATCCCGTTCATCGGGGAGCGTTTCTGCAGAGGCGTCTTGCTTGATTGCCAGACCGATCGCGGCATCACCTTTGCCTCCGACGCAACCGTGCATGTAGGGCTACCTAGCGATGCCGCTCGGGGAGAGCTCTGAGAGGCTAATTTGCTTTAGAAGGAATATTCTCGTTAATAATTGACTCCCACCGGGGGAGCGTGGGGAGGAGGAAGGAGGAGTTCTTACTCTAAGACTACCAATGAGCTTTTAATCTGATACGATAATGGAGGGAATTTAGAGGACTCTTCCGCTGACAGGTGAGCCTCGGTTTAACCAGTTACGCTCAATGTATAAATGATGCAAGATTGACAGTTAGTCAGTGATGCGTTCATTCGACAATATGTTATTTCGGCGGGACAGTACCAGCACCGCTTCACCTCCCGTAACGACAGTGCAGTCCTAATTGATTTGTTGGCCATTACGGAGCAGTAGAAGCGAGTGTGGCTAAATCACGTGACACGTTACCACCTTGTTTGTTATGTGGCCTCTCCTTTTCGCCTTCAAAGAAGCCTTGGTATTCAGAAATACATTTAACTTGGCGATCCTGAACCCTCAGTTGCTCCTGATGCGTGAAGAGCTTTGAGTACCAGAGGTCGAGAAGCGCTATGCAAATGATGGCCCGTTGAGCATTCACTTATCGATCTGGCTGGATAAACATACACAAAGCGATTCGATTTATTTATTTGCGGGCAAAGTGGAAAACCGTCTGCATCGCAAGGGAAATGGCTTTCACCGGCCCCTACAGTCGTGCTCCAGTGCGGCTGAAATGCAGAAGGCTCATTAGGCCCACAGTTCCCCGATGAGGCATTTTAATTAAAAGGCTAGAGGTACTCGCCTTGCATTCCAACGCGCGTTAGCCACGTAGCAGAAGCGCTATGTCATGTCACCGTGTGGGTCAGTGAAACTTTGGCGAACAGCACTCAAGACAATGTGACGTTCATTCGCTAAGTGAAGCTAGCTCGCTAGTTACCTTTGAAAGCTTGTTTTCTAAGCTAGCCGGTTAGCCTCTCAATCTATGAATTTGCTTATTGGACCTCTCCAAGAATTTTCTCACAATTTTCACACTTCGGAATGTGAGGCGAACTTATCCTCCCCCAAAATTGTAGCAAGGGCTGACAAGGCCATGACGTGCATGGCAACAAAGGAGACATCAAGCACGGCAGTGGTTGAAACCGCGTCATTCAACAAACGTCCTTCAGCGACATGAGAATGCGCCGCGAGAATCTCGATTTATTGAGGGCGAATTTCACTTTAAGTTCCTCTCGTCAGTCTTCCAATCTAATCAAGTGGAAAAATAATATTTCAAAGTGGTATTTTTTTTTTTTTTTTGGCCTCTCTGTTCGCATGATAATGAAAGAGGCGTAGCTAATGTGCTCTTTAATTAGCCCTCGTCCTCGGTTTCTTTGTGTCACTTCGCGGCAGCAAATTAGCGCGCAGGAATTGTGTCTTTCCACATATAAAATCATACATATAAATCATAAAAGTGTGTACCGTGATCTCATCGTATCTTGTGTATCTGGCGCATGCTGAGAACAAATACTAAATGCTAACCCGTGCATCGAACGGCACTGCCGCTCCGCTTAGTTTCTTTTGATGGCGTTTCTGTTTGCCGGCTCTTCGCCCAGCCCAGGTTATGAGTGGAGAAATTTGGTATGATGGCAGGATCATTTCAAATGTGCCAAAATTCAGAATGTCTCTATCCAAAGATTAGATCATTTTTTTGTCTTGCCGTTTTCGTCCCGGCCTCAGCACTGGTATGGCGGACTTACTTAAACAATTAAAAAATCCATTTTCTCATGTTCTCATTCTGACGCAAAGCAACGTTAGACCATCGATTGCTGACAGTGGGACCACCTCCTCCTATCCATCCCCGCTGTCCTTTGGGAGCGGATCTGCAATCACATGAGCGAGCCCGAAGTGCAATTAGCCGCTCCAGGAGCAACGCAGCAGTGACATACGATCAACACGGACAAAGTGTGGATGAGGAGGAGGAGGAGGAGGAGGAGGAGGCTGTACATATGAGCAAACAAAGGAGGGTCAATACCCAAAAGAGTCATTATGGCCCATCTCGGCTATCCATCCAAAACAGCCTTGCCACCCACGCCGCTGCACTTTTAATTAGCCCCTGTGCATTACGACGTCCTTTCTAGCACTTTGCAAGTTTCGGACAACGGCCCTGCAGGGGCATGCGGGAAGCCGAGGGATGCTTGGGTGGGCGGGTGAGGTGGGATGTCGGAGCATGGTGCGGAATGCGTGTGCGGCTCACCTTGGAGTCAACGCGGAGAGGTTTTCATACGCGGCCGCACGGATAATGAGCAGCTGGAGTTTTGGTGATTTCCTGTGAGGGCGACATAAAGAGGAATCAGCAGTCTTCAGGACTCATTATCTCGTGGCTGCTGTCACTGCATTAAAAGTAGCGGTCACTAAACTGCTCACCACCACCCCAACACACACACAAAAATAAATAAATAAAATCACCCTGACGTCCACGGTTTTTATACGCGCAACAACCTCAATGACATATAATCTCCAGGTTGGCAAACCAGAATTTGAAACGCTAGGCATTCACCCTTTCACGCACTCCGTTACCTGAAAACATGATTAGCTGTCCACTGTAGCAACCGCTGTCCCCCGAAAGGGTTAAATTGCTTGCGGTGCTGCTGCGCTAAAACTTTGAAAGTGAGCATGAGATGGTTCTGTCTGACCAATGTGTGCTTGCATCCCATTCACAGCTCCAGAATGGAAGCGCTCGGCGTGACCAGTGTGGTGGAGGTGTGGTGCATCGAATTAATTCCGGAGACGGCCAAATGAGCCATGACAGGTTAGTTGTAAATTATTCTCACCCGGGTGAGCTGAGCTCCGTGGCAACAGTTCACCTTGCAAATATATCCCGGATTTATGCAATTGTATGAAATACCGTATGGCAAACTTTGAAATCTGCCAATAGGTGAAATCCGAATATTGATGGCGCTTTCGTCGCATTTTGAGCTACTGGCATTGGCGCAAACTCTTATAATTCACACCCACACAAAGTGTGAATACATTTGTATAATGTATGATAATATGAAGGTTAGGCTTGAATTCTCCACTCAAGGACCATTGAGTACATTTCTCCCCGGATTTCTGGAGTTGCTCTCAAGGCCTTTTTTTTTTTTTTTTTGTCACAACTCTGCGCGGTCATCCCATTATCACAATTTCTGCTTGAAAGGTGCTATTTTATTTATTTTTTTTATGGTTGGCGATGCAAACCCGTCGTGGCAAATTGGTAAGCGGGTGCTACTACATGGCATCTCGTCAACAAGCACATCCCGTGGATGGACCAATGGGGTTTTCTTGTGGTATGAATTTCGAGCCAAGACCGCACACAAAATATCCTGAAGTGACCGTGTTTTTGAAAAAACAAAACAAAACGTGTTTGCATAATCAATGAAAGACTTTCATGCTTTCATAAACATTGATAAGAGCTTAGAATGTTCAACGGAGCGAATGCGCAGTTTCGGAAACATGAAAACGGATTTATAGACGGCCCGACGCTAGCTCGTCACGTCGCTCGGCTTTGATGGAGGCTTTATCCTCCGCTGAGTGCTCGTTACAGGATGTCAAACAAATTCCTCTCCTTTCTCCATGTCAAAGCTCACGAGTAGTTCGACGACCCGCCGCCTGTCATCGCCGCTCGCTTTTTTGGGGGGGTTGGGGGTGGGCGACGGGCTGTCAAAAGGATTACGTGGCGGCAGCTTGACGGGACATATCGATTTGTGACTCAGGCGGTCTTCCCCCGTCTGAACCACGCGAGCACGACAGAGCAGTTCGTTTATTTATTTCTTGGTTTAGTCTTCGCCACCAACTCCTGCCATCCCGTGCCGTCACCCAGCGCAAACGTCGGACTCCGTAGCGGTTCGGGCTTCTTGTCAGTAACCATTCCGAGCGTCGGAGCTCATTAAAATAGACTACAACGTGAGGGGAGATGATGTTCCTTCTCTGTCTTTGATATTTCCGAGACAAAATTGACATTTTTTTTTCCTGCACCCCCCCCCCCCTTTCTCTCCAACCCAAGTTAATGAAATTGTCACAGCACCTTAGGAAATTGCCGGCGTGTAAGCAAAAACATCTGGCGAAGTGATGGCGCGTATAACGTCCGTGCACATTCGCTCACGCGCGCACACGCGGGTTCCTATTCGACAGCCATTGAAGTAAGCAGAAAAAGATGTTCCGTCCTGGATGTGCATGGCAGCAGCTCAATTACTCCTTCTTAAAGTCTGAAAGACGAATGCATTCATGGGATTTAGCTTCATGCCGTGAAACTAAAATGGCACCCAAGAAAGCGCCAGCGACGAATGATCAGATCTATCTGCCATTCTTTGTCCATATGACAGGGCATAAGGTCAATAAAGAACCAGTGTTAAAACATGCACGCGCGCAGTCCACGCCCCGGCGTTCTGCTTGCCTATGCTCTCAGGAGACCGCACTCATCATCGCTGCCGCGCTCCCCCGCCCCCTCGCCGCATCCAACGGCTTCCGCTAGCTAAAATGCTCGTAAAGAGACGAGGGGAAAAAAAAAAAAAAGAAAACAAAAAGCCCACAAAATTTCTGTCATGTGGTGAAGAGTCGCGTGTGCGGTTCAGCTTGCCGCTCATTTTGTCATTTGCTGTCATCCGTTCCTCCGCATCTTCTTTCTTTATGACTTTAAAATCCATTTTTAATCTCAAAAGATTTTTTTTCCCCCCCGTTGAGCTGCGAACAGTATCAAGTGTTTTCGAAGGTCGCGAATGTTGCGTTCTCGTCAGGGTCGTCAAGGCTCAATGCTAACTAACTTATTTTTCCCTCGAGAAGTTCCAACTGTATTATCATAAGACTACCACTTCCTCCTATGATGACAACTTTTTTCCTTTTAAAAATTCAGATTATATTTCTCTTTCCTGAACAACAGTACTATGCGTCCTTGGAACATAATGAGCTTACGCTTGTCGTCTTGCAGTACCTACATTGACTTCCTTGGTTCTTTCCCATTGTTCTGATTACCGGTCGAGCATTTTATTATTATTATTATTATTTTTTTTTTCTCCATGCGATGTACAAGCGACTGACTTCATCTTAATTTGAAGAGAAACCCGAGAATGATGTTTGTGTCACACGTCGGGGGAGAAAAATGACACGGTAATAACAGCCGCGATGCTTTTCTTTTCATGTGTCGCGGTGATTGCGATTCCGCTTCATCGGCCCAGCGGAAAAGCAGCTGCGTAAATCAAATCCGCCGCCTTATGATGGCGAGGGAGACGGCAACAATTTTTTTTTTTTTTTTTTTTTTTGTAGCATGAGATGCAATATTCATCGCGCATCAATAATTCATTTGTTTTCTCACTAGTCGGGCCTAAAGTGATTGTTGGCCCTATTTCATTTGGCCATGTATCCAGTGGTTAGATGCTGAACTCCTGTTTGGATATCTTTGCATGTGAGCCACTTACATGTGTCTGCTGGTTTTGTGGCCTCATAGTTTTTTTTTTTTCCCTCCAACCTTTATTGAGACAAGGCGCATATTTTACAAGAGAAAAATCGTACGGCGCATCACCAAGAGGAGCCTACTGAAATAATGATGAGCCTGACTCACTCGTCAGTACACATGAGCCTTTTTTTTTTCTCAATTGAGCCAATGTCAATCCAGTGAAGTCAATACTCCACTGGTGATGTAACGCCGAATACTAGAAATTTCAATTCAAGTGCAGGAATTCAAATGGAAACGGCACAGATATACTTTCATACAAGTGCCTTTCCCCAAAACAGGCTCATTAGCAACATCTGCTCGTACCCCTGCTCAGGTACGAACAATGATTACCTCTGGCCTTTCGGGAAGCTCCCCTGGGTGTCATTTGGCACCCGTCCCAATCCGGTGAAAAGTTAACGCGCGTGTGAGCATTTCCTCTCGAAATGGGGGCAGTGCAACTCGTGGCGAGCGCACCCCGAAAATGTATGAACACTGACACAAGGCTCTTTTTTTTTTTTTTTTGTCATCTTTTCTTGAGAGATAATTACAATCTCAGGCACAGAAGCAGGACGCCGAGAATGTCTGCGCGCCCAGATTGTGCTCACTCGGGCCACGATATTAAAGTGGCCCTTTTCTCCTTTTAAGGAGGCGTAGCTAATCTTTGCTGGATTAATCGAACGGAATAGAACATGCCTTAATGGACAGTAGCAGGCAGCGCGCAAGAATAACGATATGAAACACACAAGAGACTGAGATGAATGAGCGGACTGTACATGGATCATAAATGTGCCAAGCTGTAAATTAATAAATAGATCTCAGACTGTATACACAGAAGTCAATGTGGACGGTAGCAATAATTGTTTGCAGTGCTGTATGTGTTTAAAAAAAATGGAGAATTTTTTCACATTCACACTTTTCAAAATGATGTTCAACAATAGTCACTGGCCACTGGGGTTTGGACTGTCTAAAAATGGTGATGGAACTACTAACTTAAGCTGTCAGATAATTGTAATGGATTTGAAAAGACCTTAAGTCAAGGTAAAAATAAAACTGTGTACTGCACCGACGTTGAGGACCACATGACTGGGTTTGCCTTGGGCCGCTATGCTCCTCATGCATCGTCTGTGTCAGTGATTCACAACCTTTATTGAGCCAAGGCACATTTTTTTTTTTAAGTTTGAAAAATCTGGTTGGGAATCACATGGTCTATGTATACGGTTTGTTTCAAAATGTCAATTAATTAATTTTATCTACATTTGCCCCTTGGAATGTCACCTTTTATGCAAAAACGTACTAATTGAAGGTGAGAACGATTCTCTTTGTGTGGGGCCGCCCAAGTGGTGCTGCACGGCCTAATTAGCGCAGTGCGTCGAATCGGTGCTGTCTCACCAAAACGGCCGTGACAGAATCAATCAGATGAGTTGGCTGGAATCAGCGGGGGGGAGGGCGGCGATGATCGATAAGGCCAATTGAAGGTTCCGACGGTGTAAGAATGGATGGACTGCTGTGCGGGTTAATCGATGGCAACGCAAATGGTTAATGCCTGATTACAGGTATCGACACCCGGATGAATTCATGGCAAATTTTAATCAGATTGGAGCTTTGGGACTCGACTAAAGGGGCATGATGCACCATCATACCGACATATTTTTTAACCCTGAACAACAATATGACTCGCGTGTTCCTGCGGAGATTCGTCCCTGAATGCCACATTCTCATGTTTCGCTTCATACAGAGCGGCTAATCACCACGCATAAAAACCAAGCGAAATGTCACACTGCGTATTATGCTCATAAAGCCCCTTGTTGAAGCTACTCAGTGACACGAAAGGGCTTGTAGATTTTCTAGATTTGGTTACTAGAATGCTTGTCTGAGGTCCAAAATGTCCAAAATGTATTTTTTCTCTCAGCCCAATAATTCCCTGAATACGCTTACAAGATCCGCCGATGAAAAGATGGCTCCCCCGTGGCTTAATGAACGCGAGGTTATGCTAACTCTTGTTAGCCTAGCATCAGTGAAACGGAAAGTGAAAAACAGACGATTTTTTTTAACTTAATCAACCACCACACTGGGAATATTGTCAGCCTCAAAACACGTGGAGTAAAATCACTTCAGCTTGTCCGGCAATAAAATTAATCAGCGCCATACTTTTGACACCCCGATATAAAACGAAAGCGAGTTACGAGTCGAAAATAAAATCCCAACGTCGTATCGCGCCGTTCAAGGGCACCAATGTCTGGCGTAAAATGGACGACGGGACAAGATTAGTTCATTAGACTTTAATGGAAAATTTCTAGTGGCCTGCTTTAAATGGCGACCGCACTGAAATGATTATCGTGTTTTTTTTGGGGGGGGGGGGCGGGGGGGGGTTAAGCTTTGTAGCCAGGTCATCATCTGCTGTTTCCAATGAGGCGATGACAGTGAATGCAAGATCTTCCGAGCCAAAACAAAGAGCAATCGTTTTGGATCGTTGCCGTTAGTTGCTGTGTGCACAGAGTTATGGATGAAACATTGAGTGATAAAGAGGTTTTCTTAGAAAATGTGTTGCTAGGAAACAGCTACTGTAAGGTCCGGCCACTGCTAGCGCACAGTGCACACACTTCAGCAAACTGGTGGAGCAATAAAGAAATAAATGAAAAAATAAAAACCACTCAATAAAGAGTACTACTTTATTATTATTTTTTTTTTTGGTTCCCGGTCACCCAATCTATCAAAACTTACCTTTTAAAGAGCTTTAGCCGTGACTGAAACTTCCCTAGTGTTTGTTATTACCAGTAGAAAGTCATCGTAAAAGCAGTCCAGTGCAAGTGGAATGTTTGCACCCCTCCGTGCAGTTCTTTCAGCAATCTCATCTTTGATAATTTAGACAGAATGAATTAGCATGCATCATCTAACAATGCCTCAAACATCTGAACAGTCCTTTAAAAAAAACATAACTAGCCATGATGAAAATGTGCTTTTTTTAATGTAAAATAATGTTTATAAATATCACCAGTGTAACGATTTTACATTTGACAAGATTAAACTATTTGCTCTCTATTTAGTCGTAGTCGTATTTAGTCGTGTGTGTGCATGCACCGTGCCAGGCATGTTTGTATTTATGTCATCGCCTCTACTTTTAATTTAAATAATCTTTGTCATGTTTTCTCTCGTTTGTGACCCGCCTTTATATGAGAATTAACGTGGCAAACACTTTTTGATCAATCATAAATTGCGTTTATCAGCCAAACCCTCCAGAGATCAACGATGTTCACAAGCATCCATGTTGTTTTGATAAATAGTTATCTCAACCAAAAGAAACCAAATTCTGCCATCTGCTGGCCATAGTTAGGAATTGTTCTTTTTTTCTTTAACTTTCCCATCCTTAAAAAAATAAAATAAAATTAGTTGACAGCAATTGACATTGACAGCGTTCAAAGACTGAATATTATTTCAGGATCTGTGGACACATCAGTATTTTTTTTCGTATTACGACGGTCACAAGATATGACATTTTGACTATGTGATTACTTAGGACAAAATGTCACACTCACGTACAACTGTACTTCATGTTTTGTAATTATACTGAATGCAGTGGCTACATTTTGATAGCAATCAAGACAAATACAACAAATTATGAAATATCAGCAATATATTTGGGAAAAATACATGTTTGATTATAAAGGCATGACAAAAAAAAAAACAAAAAAAAACTCAGCTGGCAGAGTCAGCTGGTTGCATGGATGGACAAAAATATTCTGAAAACTCCAAACACAGGAGGTCCTCGGTTTATGACAGCAGCCACCGGAAAAAAAAAAAAAAAAATCAATAATATATTTTATTATTACAAAATTAAAAATGAAAAAAAAATTGTTGCAAATGACACCTTTCTCTCTCTCTCTCTCTCTCTCTCTCAATCTCTCTCTCTCTCAGATACATCCACCCATCTTCCTCTTCCATCCTCCTCCTCCTCCCATCCCCTAACAGCTGCGCCTCTCCAGCCTTCCTTGACGCCGACTCCCCCATACTGATGAGCCCAGAGAGCCACGCACCTCCTCCTGACGTTGCCTCCTCTCCCTCACACCGGCTTGCGCAACAACAGTGACTGAGCGAGCCGTGGAAGTGCAGCCCCCCTCCTCCCCACCGCAGCCTGACACTCTTGCCGGCTCCTCCGTACTCCCAACACGGACCTTCGGAGCCGATTCGTCCGAGAGACGGGGATGCGCGCATCGCCGCTTCTGCCACGACCGCCACGACCGCCGCCCGGCCAGTCTTACATCGGTGTCACTACCTCCGCTTGGATTCAGCAACCGTGAGCACATCTGAACCTCCGGGAGGAGCTATGCCCGACTCGAACGCGCCACTACCCAGCTGCAGTCCTCCTCTTCCTCGGCACAGTCCCTCGGGCTCCCTCGCTACCTGCCCGGAGGCACCGATGCAAGCTTGCTAAAGAGAAAAGAAGAATAAGAAAATAAACGCCCACAATCGACACTTCTACCCCTCCACCCCCCGCCTTTTTTTTTTTTTTTTGTGGGGCCGGAATTCAAAGCCTGACTTGACTGCTTCTCCCTTGGATCATGCAGAGATTATTACGACGTTGAAGGAGAGAGAAAAGAAAGGATGGACCCGGTTATGTGCGTCGTGGGGCTACTGGCGCTGCTCGTGGAGGGCATCTGTTGCCAAGGAGTGTACGGTGAGTGAGTGACACGCATGTACATGACCTTGCAAAAAAAAATAATTGATCATATCGTCGCCGTGACGCCGAACGCACCGCATGCATGATGAATTCTGCACACGCGCAAAGCACACAACTCGGATTCTGTTGTTGTCATCATGCGACGATGATGACAACAGGGAACCTCATCACGGTGAGAAGTCTCACTCTGTTATGTGACAGTCTTCATCTCTTTTTGTGCAACCGGTGGTACGGGCAGCGAGTCGCCATCATGATTCAGGCTGGAAGCTCACGTGTGCTCTACTTAACAGCGGAGCTGAATGTGAAGTCGTATGTGTGTGTGTGTATGTGTGTGTGTGGATGGGGTGCTTGTCGCCTGGCACCGTTACGCGGAGCTGTGTTGTCGTGTGTGCAGGAATGATGCCGGTGTGATTTGCACTGTGGAAGCTGCAAAAAAAATAAAAAATCACTGCACTCTTCACTTAGGTGTTTGGAGTGCTCCTCCAAAAAGCCCCTCTGGGTCCCTGTCCAATATTGACGTTCAGCCTTACGTTCAGATGCTCATTAAGAGAGAACGGTGTCCCATCATGGCTCGTCATAGAGGAGTTGGTTGATGGAACAGATGGAGCTGTGTGGTGTTGTTTTTTTTTTTTTTCCCCCCCTTAACTCCCCTGTGCTTTTGTGCCGCCGTGCATTCTGAAAATGGTCATCCCCCCGCCCCCCCCCACGTCCTCATCACTATTCCGCTCTTCGTGCCGCATCTGCTTTGTATGCACCTATACGAGCGGGACGGTGCCATGCGATGAAACAAAAAAGATGCCCAAAGCCTGTCGCTTCTCCTAATTGGCCGGGAAGCTTAATCGGAAGGTAACCCCTCTAAAACATCGAAATTAAAAAACACATTGTAGACAGACATGAACACGTGGGGGTGGGGGGGGGATTGCTTTGTAGAGGCGGGGCCTGGTGGTGTGGTGTAAAATGGGGAGTATGTGTGAATGTCTGCGTGTGAGCCGTGGCCGACAGCAGCTTCAGCCTGAGTGCGATCACTGTGTTTGTTTTGCTGCTCTCCCGGCGTTCATGTAAATCGCTGAAAAGTGCATCCACGGCTCTGGCCCTCCTTTCCCACATGCGAGGGCATTACAGTAAGTAAGTACTGTGTGGTGTATTCTTCTCCAAAAACGTAAAACGTGATCTCTCACGGCACGCTAATATGCTGCGGCTCAGTGGCGTCAATCGACCTCATCTGATGAATAATAGGGAAGTCATCCTTCATCGATTATGATCAATGTATCAATGATGAGCTCAATAAACCGTGAGCGATGCGAGTCGTTGATGATGTCAGCACGTCCCTGATCCCCGCCAACCAAACGGTCGGCGGGATGAAACAATGCCTGACAAAAGAATAATGGACTACTTTTCTCTATTGTTCCAAAGATAAGAGCTTTTTGGATACCCGATATGAATATAAATCGGCGCGCTAAACAAATCTCGCATTGATCAAAGGTTACTCAACTGAATCGAGATGGCATCTTGGCGCACTCTGTGGCCCATAAACAAAGTAGCACGGTCCGAATGATCGATTATGAAACCGGATCCCGACGGCAGCCTAAATAAAACCCGGCAAGCCATCGGAAAAACGCTGCGGTTGTGATTGTGATGAAATGCTCGGTTAATTAGCGTTGTGAATTCAATTGAGTCCCAAACAAGCCCGAGATGAACGATTAAATTAAGTGTCATTACGCTTATTTATCTGCAGTCATTTCTTGATTTGATGTTTTATATTGAGCGTTGCGGTTGGAGTTGTCACGGATTTCCGAGCGGAGGCAAAAGAGTGGTTGAACGCTAAAGTCACATCACCCCCCCCCCCGCCTCCGCCGCCCCCCCCACTCCCAACTAAGCGATGTAGTTATTAAGGAGAAGTCAAACACCAGTGAGTTAAGCGACAGTGCCAGAGTCATTAGAGGGGCCTGATGTGGGCCAGTCACCCCCCCACAAAACGGCGTGGCTCCAGGCCACGGAACAACATCTGCTCGCCTGCTTGTTTTTGTTGTGCACATCAGCCCAAAGTCCAGCGCACTCTCAGGAGATAACGCTAATATTTCATCGCTACATGCTAATACTGTGATCCTACTGTGAGAGTTGGCGAAGTATGGTTTGGAATGGTAAATCCTAACCTGGCTTTGGTTTCCAGAGGTAGTACTGGGTTATTTGTCTGGTTCGCAAGGGACGTCTACAAAATTCGAACACTTGGAGATAGTTGTGAGCAAGGCGAATAATCCGACATTGGCTTGTCGGCTTGGAAGTTCTTAGACAGTCTGATGGTTGTGGTGCATGACAGGTGCGCCACTGGAGGGACCGCCTTCCACTCCAGTTGGAACTGAGACACAAAACAGAATATGACATACCAGTTTTGATGATGCAGGGATACAGTGAATCCCCCCCACCCCGCCACAAAAGTAATTGATGCCCACCCAGATGGCACAAGAAAGCGTCAAAGCACTTTTTTTCCCTATTAGAAACGGCTGTGGGGTAACCGCATGATGCTCCTCCCTTCACTGCAACATACCGGATACCACAAGGTGGCGCCAAATCAATAGTCCGTCTTTATACTAGTCACGTCTTTCGCTTCAGCACAAACAGAAATTGGTGCGTTTTGCGTAGCCGCGGACAATTTCCCAATGGCAGATGATGATGGTGGATTAGAAAAGTCTCTGAAGATGTGGCTGTCTTCTTTTATTTGATTTTTTCTTCATGTTTTCTGCCGAGTTGATGACCCGTGTTGCCTTGCTGCCTCTCAACAGATCAGTCTTGGTCAGGGGTCACCAACTTGGTGCTTACAGGCAAGGCACCAGCTGCTCCCTGGGGACCATGAGTAGCCCACGGGCCTGATCTAAAAATAGCTCCCCCCCACCCCCCGCATCCCCCGTTATGGGAGATTGTGATTTTCTAGGATTGTTGCACAAGAGATCATTTGAAAATATGATCGTTGGCAAAGATTTATAGAGATAGCGTTGCATCTTGCTATTTCTGAGCCCGAATGATTGCGGAAATTGCTATGATACCCCCCCGCTTGTCGTGTGAAAGAGAACATTGGTACAAATCGCTACTTGCAACGGGAATCGCACCTTTTGGTGCAAATGGTGCTTCAATGACAGACCCCTTTCGTGTTCCAAGCACCCAACGGGCGCAAATGAAACATGACTGGCGTACGACGGCGCCAAACGTTTTCTCTCCTCCGCCACTTCATCCGGAGTCGTTCGCCGCCGCCGCCGCCCCGTCAGTCTGCGTATCAAAGTCAGTCGGCGGCAACCCCACCCCCCTGATCGCATTTCGTCTCATGCCGCACGGCAGAGGAAAAAGTTCCGACGGCGTTCTTTACCTCCGCCCCGCATCCCGCTTTCCCCTCCCCGCTCTTGATTCCCGCTCGCATTGAAGTCCAAGCCATTGCCGCTTGTGTCTTTTCATGAGGCCCGGTTCAGACGCGCTGGCTTCTAAGCTATGCAAATGCATGCTGCCAGTGAAACTAAAGCCGTCTTTGTTGGCACTCAGAGGCCTCTTCCACGGGGTCCTTCATCATTTCCTTGGATCAGGACCCGAGCATTTCGCCGCCGTAATGAGAGCGAGGATAAGTCCGTCGACTTCTTGCCGTCTTCATCTCCGGGCTTGTCTCTTGCCACGATCCTTCCAGAACAAGCACACATCCCAGGGCGTGAGCGCTTCCATCGGTTGGCAAATGAGGGCAATACAGTGGGGGCTCCGCTGCTCAAAGTTCTGCCCGCCCCCACTGCGGTAAAAGCGTGCGGCGGCCACGTTGGGAATAGCCGGTTACCTCGTGGGTGGCGATTCAGACGGCAGCATCTTAATCAAACCAACACGTCAGTTCTCTTTGGAGCAAATCCTGAGGGTGGAGATTTGCTGGCTGGATATGTGCAGCGTGGGACTGTGTTTTAGCCCAGGGTCTGGATTTGCCACGCGCTGTCCGTTTGCTACTTCGAATTAGGCCCGATCAAGGTGGATCCATCTTGTTGCATTGCTGGATGAAGCCTTGAGACAAAGTTCAAAAGACAAGTGGAATCTTTAAGCCCTCATCAAGAGTTCAGAGACGTTTGGACTCGACATTGCCTCCGTGGAGCCAGACACAGGATTTAATTTAATCACGTCCTTGTCACTTGCCAGCCCTGTAGAAAACTCGATGCTATACTTAGAAAAAAAGACCTCTCACGTCCACAGTAATCCAGTCTAGGACACTGGTGGACTTTAATTTGACCGGTCATCATTTTTATGTTGTATGGATCTAATGGAACTCTCATATCACATTTATTGACTCCAAATCAGTTCATTCATCCACGCAGCCATCCATTTTCACTCGAGCTTCTCCTCCTTAGAATTGAGGGTGAGTTGGAGCCTCACCCAGCTGACTTCATATGAGAGCAACCGTTTACTCGACGTGTACGGCGGCTGTAAGCGCGTTACTACGTCTGAGCCGAAATGAACTAATTTGACTCGGTGTTGGGGGATGCGGGCTTAAATGCGGCAGCAGTCAGCCAGGTAACTACAATCCTTTTATTTTTTGGGGCGGGGG